CACCAGAACCGTGTTAGCCACCCAACTCGGGTAATGGACTTCCCTGATGAAGTCTACCGCGAGTAGCTTCCCAACCTCTTCATCGACTACCCTCCAATGTTCCAGGGCGAGGTTGCATTTCTTCTACCTTACTAGCCTGACTAAAGGGTCGGTATTAAGCTTGTGAATTATGACTTTTGGATCAATTCCGGGCATCTCTGTTGCGGACCAAGCAAAAACGTTTAAATTTTCAAGTAAGAAACTTACTAGCTGGGATCAAAGTGGTTCGTCGATCGAGGCACCGATCTGGAGAGTCTTGGCTGGTTTGGCGGTAGAGATTGGTATGTGGACCGTCACCTCTTTCGGGGCAGCTCGTTCGTCGATATACTCCACTGGTCGCTCGAGCTCGACATCCTCTACAAGCTTTGTTTTTCCTTTAGGGCAGCCACGTAACACTTGCATGATTCGAGCTGGTCACCTCGCACGACTCCCACTTCGTAATCAGTTGGGAACTTCATCGCTAAATAGTAAGTGGATACTACTGCACGTAGAACATGCGTGATGGGGGAGGGAGACGTGACCACCAGGAACATATGCTCAAATTGCACGATGTTTGGCCACGTGCCAGCTTCCACGGGTACTATGATTCGACCAAGAGGTCTGACCTTCTCGCCGCTGAACCCTACCAAAGGAGTATCTGCCATTTTCAGGTCGCTCTGCTGTAACTATAGTTTGTCAAAGGTCTCTTTAAAGAGTATATCTACTGAGTTGTCTGAGTCTACCAAGATGTGTTTTATCTTGAAGTCATTAATCCTTAACTTCACCACTAAGGCATCATCGTGAGGGTACTGGATCCTGCACGCATCATCCTCGGTGATGTAGATCGGTTCTTCGAGACGAGGTCGCTTTGGCAGGTTCTCCCCTTCATTCTCTAACTCGCGGACCGTGGTCCTCCCAGCTATTGATGTACATCCGGCGATGATGGACCCGCCGGTGATCATGTTAATTACCCCGCGGATCGGTCTTTCCTCTAGCAACTATCGCAGTGGTTTCTCATTCTGCCTATTGACCTCGGGGCCATTCCTCCTCTGGTCCCCCTATCGATCTGTCTGTCGGTCTGCTTGTCCTCTCTCTTCTCGCAATATGAAGTTCTTCAGGTACTCGCGACGGATAAGTTCCTCGATCTCGTCGCGAATATTCCTGTAATTCTTTGTGTTGTGTCCATGATCTCGGTGGAAATGGAAATAGACATTTGGATTTCTTGTTGCCGAGTCTCCCTTAGCCTGGGAGGCCATTTGACGAAGGAGGGGTCCTTAATAGCCATTAAGATCTCTCCTCGCTTGGCGTTCAAAGCCGTATAGCTCGTTCTCTCCACAAGTGGGGTCCTAGAGCACCAACCTGACTTGCGAGTGCGCGAGGGGGATCGACTTCTTGACTTGCTTCTTCCCCTACTCGGGGACTTGCTTTTCTTCCTTTTCTACCCACCATTGCTTGTTCCTTCATTCTCTCTCTTTCTCTTTTTCGGTGATGGATTGTTAATCTTTTGGTTGATCTCTTCCTCGGTACCGATGAACTGATATGCTAACTTGAGAAATTCGGTGATATCCTTTGGTTTGTTACCTACCACTTGCCACTTGAACTCTTTATGGGTAATTTCTTTCTTTGCCGTGGTGAGTCGTACCGCTGGGTCAAGGTCCAGTATTCGCAAGAAAGTATCGTTGAAGCACTTTATATAGCTTCGAATTGATTCTCCCTCACTTTGAACCACGTTCAGAAGGCTTTCTTGTGACTTCGGGCACTTCTTACTGGTAATGAAGTGCGTAGAAAACAAGTCGACGAACTGGGACCAGCTTTTGATGTAGCAAGGCGCGAGGTTCCGATACCAAGTTCGGACTACCCTCCTAAACGTTGTGGAGAAGGCCACACACATTCAAGACTCATCAGCCTCAACTAGGTGCATCTGAGATTGGAAAGAGTCTACATGATCGTTGGGGTCAAACGACCCGTCATACTTTGCTAACGGGGGCACCTTGAAGTCTTTTGGCATTGGAGTTGCCAAGAGCTCGGGAGATAGAGGGGATGATTGGCAAAGTAATGGAGGCGTAGTCTTCGTAGCCATCGAGCACACTTCTTCCTTTCCTTTGGCTTGCTCTTCTTGGCAGCCTGGCTTCACCGATGGACTGTTCCTGGCCGAGGGGCAGCGTGTCTTGTGACGCTGCCACTGCTGCTTCTTCATCGGCTCAGCATTGGTACTGCTAACTTCAGTCTGGTCTGGTATTTCAGCATTATCGCGAGGTAGATCCTGGTTCCTTCTTGTTAGATTCTCTTGGTATTTCAGCATTATCGCGAGGTAGATCCTGGTTCCTTCTTACTCAGCATTGCCTCGAGTTCGCACCTCGAACTCCGAATTGGTTATTATCTCTTTGCGACCTTGAGTTCACACCTCGAACTCCGAACTGATTATTATCTGCTCACGAGCCATCATTTTCTTGTTGGGAGTGCAAAGGCAGATTGGTCCTGTTGGGATGACTATCGCCGGACCTGTTTCTGAGATTTCCTTGCGAGATTGGAGGAGTGTGCTAACCATCTCTCCTCCCACGGGGCGAAACCTGACCCTTGGGAGGAATCGGTACTTGTGAGGTCTCTTCACCCAAATGGGGAGATCGGTTGATGTTCCGAGGTGGAATCGGCTGCTGGTTCGGCTGTAGTGATGGGAACTGGTGCTAATACTGTTTATACAAATAGTAATGCTGAAACTATTGGACCTACTGCGTCTGGATATGAATTGTCCGGACGCACTAAACGAGGTCATGGAGCTGGGAATGCCCAATTCCAGGGGGAACCACAGATGGTTCAAAGAAAGTCGCGCCCACCACTGGGGGAAGTGGGACCCTCACTTGCATGGTGCTCTATGGTACGGACAGTGACGGGATACCGGACATTGTAAGCGGAATAGTAAACTGGCCGATGCATACCGTAGGACCTTGGGGGAAGGTTGATTGCTGAGCTTGCCCCCCGGTGACGTTCATCTCAATACTTTCTCTGATGTTGCTGGAAGAGTCCATCGACGTAAGTTGAAAGATAAGATTGCAAATAAAGTTGAGATGACCTTTTCGATCATTTCCCACAGACGGCGCCAATTGATGGTGCGAGATCTGGCTACTCCTACCTGGAAGGTGATCCGAATTCCAATTGGGCGGCAAGCTGGACCGATCTGCAAAATGGTGAATCAGATAACCCGGGATAGCTAACCCGACAAGGTCGCTCCGATGCTTAAGTCGGTACTTATGCTATGAATGCGAGCTGAATGCTTGAGAACTTGAATGCTAGTGAGTAGAAAAATCACGCGTACCTTTGCCTTGAGGTTCCATTTCTTTATATAGTGGAGTAGTCGTGGGCCTTAAGAAAGATCTCCAAGATCTTTGAGCTGTGCAAATAAGGTTTGTTTTGTTTTTGAAGAAGAGCAATATATTGATAAGGTTTATTGTTTTACCTTCGATTCAGGCAGAGCTAGGACGAGTCTTATCGTGATACCGAAAAATTCGGAGCTCGTTGGGGAGACCTTTGGAGTCAATCATGTGACATTTTGGCTCTCTAGCCCCTTACTACCACTTCAATTCCTTAGTCCCAAACTGGATTGGGTGTCATGGTACCTCTACACCGAAGTAGTTTTTTGCGCCGAGATAACTGAATACCCAAGCTCCGAATATTGCAAAATGGGTTCTCTTGACTGAATTATCACCTCTTGATCAGATCAGATCACGCCTACGTATCCCTGTCTGCCAAATCACCCGAGGAGTCAAAGATGGAATCTTTTGGCTGTGAGTACTCGGACTGCCGTGCCGGACACAACACGAGGTGAGACGCAGTCCCGAGCGAGCGATCGCGAGAGAGAGACGAGGCAATGGTTTCTTGGAACTTGGAAGGTAGTACTAGTAGAGGTTAAATTGAGAGCGTAGATGATGAAGGTTGACCAGGTCTACATCTGTTTGAAGTTACTGACACATGATGAGCCTGGCGATGCGTCTAATCAGTAGCCTATCCCTCTCAGATTCGTACCATGCAACTTACCACACTGCCCAAACTACCCTTCATCATCATCACTTATTACACAAGCATCCATCTCTATTGCCAATTAAATTACTATTTAGATTGATCCATCAACGTGGAAAGACGTTTGCAGTTTTAAAGAAATGATGCTGGTGATATCATATCGGTACACTTGAAAAAGTAAGCAAACTTTCCTTGGCTATGATCATCGCGTCCTCCCATCAGACGGCCAGCACGGGAGATGGTAGTCTCACACTATGACACGAGGGTTACGAATTACACCCACTGGAAACTAGCACAAGCTTTCAAACAGAAGTTAAAGGTTTGAAGAAGAAGAAGAAGATTCTGCACAAGAAATCAGCTGTTACGTTGTCATGCTGACAAACTCACATGATCATTTTCCACTGGGAGAAGATGTCTAAGCAATTGACTTGATTTTTTCCCTAAACATTTAGCTAATATGAAAAATAATCTATAAATTCGGTCATATAAAATATAAACCGTATATGTATAATCTTGCCGCATGGCCCTCTTAATCACACGGCTAATAACCCATGCATATTGATTCATCGAGACCGGAGAGGGTCGTTTAGTTTTTTCTCTGATACTCTGAAATTTTGGTTGATCATTAGATTCATCACCTGCTTGTTCTGATTCTGATGAGCGTACAAGCATGCAGTATGAAATTATCAATCATGCATCAGATAAGATCACAAGTAGGGAAACAAACCAAAGCAGCAAAGATAGAAAAGAGACGAGAGTTGCAGAGAAAGTCAGTGGAACAATTAAGAAGCCCAAGAAAAAAAAAATCTACGTTCCGTCCAAGTAAAACACTAAGATCATCGTCGGTAGAAGTAGTATTATTACATTGAGTAACTAAAACCAAAACCCTGCTCATCAAGAGACAAACCTAAAAACCCAAAAAAAGGAAAGAGAGGTGGGATGACGAGAGGAAAGGCGATGGAGTTGAATTAAGGCCTGTAGTCTCGGACCTCAAAGTAAGAGCGATTCTTGACGACGATGTCGTACATGTGAGTGGACTTGAAGTTGGCGAAGTTTCTGGGGAGGGAAATGAGGTGGACCGAAGTCTCCGAGCGGTGATATTGTATGAGATCGGGGTTTTGGCCATTGTCGTAACGCTTCCAGCCAAGTTCTCGGAGGCTATGCTCCAGCTCAGCGTAGGATTTGATTACCTGGTTCGAAGGGATGTACACCAGGATTCGGCGACGGGCGCCTGGTGCCGTAGCGATTCCCCGAACAGTCGGCTCTTTGTGCTCGAAAGATTCTTTTGTGGGGTTGGAGATTAGACGGGCCACGCCCTTCTTGTTAAATATCCACACACCAGACATTGTTTACGCAAACAAGATGAGAGCTTCAAAGATGTAATTATGTTCCTTAGTTGTAACTGGCCAGAGAGATTGAGACGAGAGAGAGAGAGAGAGAGAGAGAGAGAGAGACGATACAGTCATACAACATACAAGATTGTGAAGGAAAGAGCGATGGTGTGTTGGATTTATAGGATGAGGATTGAGTGAGGACAATGGAAGAATGAATGAGAGAGATGGCAGTTGTAAAATTACTACTATGCCCTTCAAGGGTATGGCGTGAACTATCGCAAAGTTGTACCCCCGCCCCACACACACACACAAAAAAAAAAAAGAGTTGGGGTTAAACTCTAAAATATTAAGAAAAACAGATTTTCACTAATGTAAATATTTTTTCAGTTATGTAAATCACAAACAAAATTATTTTCATTTGAATCACAATCGATGTAAATCAAAAGTAAATGTAAAGGCAGTGAAACAAGAAAGAAATATGGCCCCATTATGCTAATATTGGTAATGAGGGCGTTTTAATAATTATGTTCAATGGCTTTGGCTTCATTTGTTGTGAAACTGTGGTTTTAAATAGGAATGGCAACGGGGCGGGGCGGGGACGGGGAGCCTCTCCCCATCTTCCTCCTCGTCTCTGTCAATGGGGATAAGGTTATCCTCATCCCCATCTTTGTGGGGATCCTCATTCCCCGTGATTCTTTATAATGTTAATCATTTTGTTTTTTTATTTTTATTTTATTTAAAAAAATAAAAATAAAATAATTAATATTTACAATCATATTAGAAAATATTCAAATATATTCAACCATATTTTTAAAAATATTAATATATAGATGTATGATAGTCAGAGAAATATCTTTAATGCCCGTTTGGATGGGATTTCATGTAGCAGCTTACTGCCTTCTGRCTTTGAAATGTAAGCTCAACACAGAACTCAATCAACACTGAATCCCACCTAGATAGGCCCTTAATGATATGAGTAGCTAGAAGTGGTGAAGCTATTATTCAACTAAATTATATAAAATCAAAATTTGAATCACATTTTTTACTTGAATCACGTACATATGTTTTGTTTACTACAATGATAAGTTTTGTTGTCTGCAATATCAATTTAAATTTCTATTCAGTAAATAACATAAAGAAATTACTAAGTCATGGCTCTTTTTTATTCATTACAACATAAATAAATATTTATGAGGATATATAAGTTCAATACTAAAAATTGATCAATCCACTCAGGGGTATTTCAATAAACTGAATTGTTGTCGGTTCGTCTTTTAGTGGCTAGATTAAAGGGGTTTTTACTGTTAAGTCTATCCTAGAAATCTTAGTTCGACTGTACAAGTGGGATGAATCCTGATTATGAATCAATGTCAAATCCATGGGTAGGATGTGGTTTATAGGGGGCTACTAATACTAATAGACCCGGAGGGAATTGTAATTTCAAATTTCTAAGGTGGAGTGCAGTCTAATTGTAATTAAATACTAATAGACTAGGAGGGAATAGTCACACCGCATATTATTCAGCAATTAAAGCCTCTATTTGTTTGTCTTGAAAATGGATGCAGAACTCTTCAAACTAGTTTAGTTTGTTTTGATCCACATGACAACAAAAACAACGCCTTCATCATAGAAGAGGTAAGACTACGCAGCTCAAATACTGCAGCTTGAAAAAACTAAAGTTAGAAATAAATATATCTAAGGTCTTGTTCTTTTTGGTTTGTATTAGATCTGTTCATGGCCAGGTTTGGATTTGCCTTTTGTCAAAATTCTATTGGGCCCGGCATGAAGCCTGAGCCTGAGCCTGAGACAGTGTAAAATTGGGCCTAAAACCCGGCCTGTGAATAAGTCTAGTTCCCATCGATCAAGATATTTATATTCTTTTTAAGATTAATGTGGAATGCATAAAAAAATTATTTTCTCTAGGTATTACTTTTCCAAGTATTCATGTAAACAATACCTATTTTCCATGTAGATAAATAACTTTTTCACTAGGAAAAAGAATTAACAACATTTTGATGAGACAAAATTATCCTTTTAATAATAGTTTTTATGATTAAAATGGTCAATTTTTTTTTCTTGGCCTAAATGACAAACTAATAAGCATTGGCTTAATTCAGGTTATACACCCATTAATCAATTTAGAATCACCAACTTTCCCTCTAAATCAACTTATTGAGTTCATGGATCAAGTGATGGATAGTATTTCACTGGGGAACGTCCTTATGAAGTTCACTTTCCTAGGATGAGAATAAGCTTAGGAATATTGGGTCACAGAGATCACACAAGGACACAGCTTTGGGCAAGTTGTGAATTTGTGATTGCCCAGCCCCAGGGCAGGGACAGGCTCTTTAGCGCTTTACAGACGTCCTCTTAGGGGCCTCTACATGGGCCATCCATGTTGCCTGGCAATTCCGCAGCGAGGGGGAGTGTTTGTTTGTCAGATGCATCCTCCCTAATTAGTGGGCCGTTGAGATAGGCCCCCACCAGTCCACCATTACAAAGGGCGAGGGAGATGTCAAGAGTCAGTGTCAGGCCTGCTCCAAGGTAACGTGACTTCCTCACTCTGACCCCACAACCAATGGACTCCTGTCGGTAATTAAGCTCTCTTTTACACATGGAGGATGCTATTCGGGTTAGCTACTTGGCTGAAAAACCAAGGACGATACCATGCATCATTTGGCTCTGTCCTTGCCCCAAAGGATACATTGAATTGCTTGCTTTCCCTTCTCATGTCCATGTTGTCTTTCGTCATCTAGCGCTGCATCTCTAGAGTGACATATTTCATGCATGGCTATAGAAAATTAAGAAAAAAAAGAACTACTTTTCCAACGAAATGCTAAATGCCAATTGGTTCGGTGAATTTCTATATGCCTTGGATTCGACCTTTTGTCATTTCCACTGAATTTGAACCTTAGTACTCTTTGTCCTTTTCCCCTAGAAATTAGAAATTAAAACACCCCAGTGCATATATATTCAAGTTTATAAATTCTATATCTGCATGCTTAATTAGAATATTAAATCCTGCAAATTGCTCTATTCGGGTTCAGCTCCCAACTGGTCACTCGAAAACCCTTTCTCTTATCAGTTAGGCTCAAGCAGAAGGAAAAGAGATCTCAGGCTTCCACAGTGCTCACCACTTGCTCCATATGTGACAAAGAACAATGGCCAAGCTTCATATGGTGGCAGCTTTATGGTCAATGGGCTGGTGTGCCCACATCTATCCACCCTTGCCCAAGAATCTCATTGGCTGTAGTTGGCGTGTTCCATAACGCAAGCAGATATGGGTGGCGAGTAAAGTCTCAAGACTAGGATCATTTGGAACTAAACTAATCATCACCAGATTGGCCAAGCCCAGGCCCATCCAAATCCAACTCAACTGGCCAACAACGATTCTCGACTCGACATCCCAAAATCCAAATTCAGCCCAAACAAACACCAACAAACTAATGTTGTATTTCATTTAAGATGCGGCCGACGCAGGTAAATCAACAACGTTTTAAGACTCGGACTGGACTAAAAACCGGAATACTCTATGGGTCTCGGTTAACCAGGCGGTTTTCCTGTTCAACCCACCAAAACTGTATTTAACCGGGGCCCGAAAAAGCCACCGGTTCCCGGTTCTCATGGTGATTAAATCTGATTCTGGAAGGGAAAGCCTTGATACCTGTTGGGCCAGCCCATTCCCATTTAGATGATACTTAAGTTAAACCAAAACAAAGAAATGATAATAGAGATCCAAATTCTAAATGATTGTCAATCTAAAAGCAATTGTATAGTTTTGTCATTTGGCGCATGGTGGTAGCGTACAATTGGATGTAGGACCTTCAAATTGGCAATAATCCACCAAGTTGCATTTCATGAAAGAGATTTGGCAAATACTAGCCACTCTAGCTCGTTTCTTTTAATCAATTAATTGATTGATTACAATGAAATGGTCAAGTTGGAGCTCTACGTGTGTGTATGTTCATATGTATGTATGAACATAAAAGTGTTGGAGGCATGGCTAGGTGGACATCACTCGATGCACGACTAACGTGTCACATGGAGAGAGCCAGTAGACAGCAGAGGCTGTTGATCATGGACAGCCAAAGCTTTCTCCAAAGTATAAACTGGTCCTAGCTAACAGCTTGCTCACATAAAAAAGAATGAGATGAAGGTGTGTGTCACAGGTGTATATATATAGAGAGAAGATAAAATGAGGAAGGAGGTAGGGGTGGCAATTGGATTGGTTTGGGTTAGTTAAATGTGGATAAGTGGGTTAAATAATGAAGATCGATCCATATTCTAATATTGATATCAATTTGTTTGACAACTGTTCCTCCAATCCATTTAAATATTGTGTTTTAATTTCCTTGGTATTGGTAGGTGGATGTACTACACAACGGGGCCTAGCCATTCCCCATTCCCAAGACGCTGGTGAAGGTGGGACTTCTGCTACAATCAGCTAATAAAGAGCAGGTTAGCTGGATGAAGGTAAAATCAACAGAGGCTGTAACTATGCAGATTTTATCACATGTCTCTATTTTTGGAGGAATGCCAAATGTTGAGTGATCATCTTAGGGCTTGTTTGGTGCATTTTTTCTTGCAGTCTTTCGGCTGTTTATAAATCAGAAAGATTAATTTTCGGTTTATTCTCATTTGATTCATAGAAGATCTAGTCGTCAAAAGACGGAATGTCGAAAAGATGCAAAAAGCCCATTTTGGGCTGATTTCGGAAAGCTTTAAATGAAGCTTTCCATGCCTTTCGTGTTTTATTCTCGTACAGAAAAACATAAAAAGACGCACAAAAAGACATGCATCTACCAAATATACTTCGAACTACTCAGATCTTCATGCAAAAGTTCAATGCGTCTTTTACATGTCAGAGCTACCAGAATATCTTCTCAGAAAAACATGCCAAATGGGCCCTTAGCTGTTGGATTTTGGCCCCATTAAATTTACAACAGAGGCTGCAGTTATGCATATTTAATCCGATACCTCCATACTTAATTTATGGAGACAAGCCCTCCTTACTACATCAATCCTAACTCCTAAGCACGAGAAGATACCCCAACCAAACCCAGAATACCATTGTTTATTTCAATTCATCCAGGTTACAATCCTTCCCCTTCAGATCATTAATGTCATGAAATCAATACCCGATTCTACAATCCTAGCTTGGAAGGTAGTTAAGAGGAGATCAAATCAGCTCCCCACACGATTGCCCCCAATAACTTTTCACAGTACATTTTTACCGTGTATTGGGAACATCTTCCCGATGAAATATTTCTAATACATGACGGGGTGTGCTGTGGCCAGTGGGACGTTGTGGGGGGCTGATTTGAAGAGGGAACAATATAATTAATGTGTTTAAAACATTGGTCAATAGTTTCCTGTTTCCAGCAGCAAAACAGGAAATTTCATGAAAATATGGAGTCGAAAATGGTTCCATCCGGTTGTGACAATTGTGAAAAAACTGATTTTATAAACTAGGTTTGTACTTGGTAGGATTTTCAACTGATGAAAGCCCCAAAAAAATGTTGTATATGGAAACTGGAAAGTGACTCTAGAGGCCTAGAGAATACAGTATTGAGATGATTAATTAATTGGATAGGCCAATGGAAGTGTATTTGATTTGGAAAATTATTTTGAAGCTGATAAAGAAAATATAATATGCCCCAAAACCGGATATTTACAAAAAGACGTTGATTTGGTCAGCAAATCATTGATTCAGGTGGTTAAATCATTGAATGGTTTTGATTATTTTTATATTATTATTAATTTTTTTGTCAGAACTGGCTGACGATTTGGTTCAAATGGTCAGATCATTCGACCCGGGATTCTCTGGGTCGGTTTTAAAAACCTTGGTTATAACATTGGTCCTTACCCTTAAGCTGTATTTGTTTTAATAGAAAATAAGAAAGAATTGGAAAGACTAACAACTTTCTCTCAACTTTATGTTTTTCTCTTATATGCATGGTTTTCAAAACTGGACCGGACCAGACGGTCAGATTGGAAAACTGGGAACCGGTCAGGTGACCGGTTCCGTTTTTCTAGAAAACTGGATTTTTTCTAAAAATCGTTGATTTTGATCAGTAAACCACTGACCTGGGCAATTAACTGTTTGAACCATTCGACCCAGGAACTGGACCCCTGACCAGTTCGTTCTCCATATTGAATTTAAAAACCATGCTTATATGTTTTTCTCTTATTTTCCATCAAATCAAACATATCCTAATTAATTTTCACAAGAATCTACGTGCCTTATATGTCAAAGAAGATATAATTCAAGGGTGACCGATCCAATAACTGCCCAAACAAAAAGAACTTTATATATATATATATAACAATGCAAGACTAGACTGAAACACAAATACAGAGCAAGTAGGAGGAGAGGAGGGAAGATCAGAGAACAAGGGAGATGCCGATCGGTGGAATATTGGAACTGTTGCTCGTCGATGCAACGAACTTGGGAGGCGACAGAGACTTCGTGGGTAATTTCACTCCCTCTTTCTCCCTCGACCAAAGTATCGACTTTCGCTACTACCAACAATTTAAAAACCTTAATTTCTTAACTTTCTATTTTATTATTATTATTATTATTATTATTATTATGTAGCTGCAATCAGAAAGGCGTTTTATATATGTTATCTTTTTATTTATTTTTACTTTCCTTCATAACCTTTCAAAAACTTTTAAAATATTTACAGGTGAGATGGATCCCTACGTTTATTTTGAATACAAAAACCAAAAGCTGAGGAGTAACGTCGCTCGAGGTAAGAGAAAACGGATGATTTTCTTAGGAAATGGTATTCAAATTAAGTTCTCTGATGTTTGTCTGTGACTTGCAAAGCATACCGGTTGACACCTGAAACAAATATATGGTAACTTGAGATTTGAATCAAAAGGCCCGGCACTCTTTTCAGAAAATTGATTTGAATGTATTAATTCCTTCAAGTAGTAGCTAGTTACTTGTTTTCTGAAAACCATTTGCTTTGAGAACCATCATATTCATAATATAGTGTTATTTTCATGGAAACTGTTGGTTAATTTACATGTGCCCAAGTGAATCAATAAATAAAACCAATAGATCGAGGGTATATAGTATGCATCTTTTAGGCTACAAAATGATGTATAGTATACTTATATTTCATGTTCAAGGCAACCCACCACTGCTTTGCTAGCTAGATTGTGTGATTGGAGACATGTGAACGGTACTGTTAATGGTTTGGTTTGGCTTGGCTTTTACTTGATRAGTCTGATCCAAATCTTATTATAGATAAGGATAAATCTCTTAAACTATCCCTACTGTTTGTAAAATTGACTACCTATATTCTTATTATTTACATATTGTCTTAAAGTTCGATCAATTTTGGGTCATAATGTTGGGTCTGGGGTAGGTATGATAGAGAGTTCTCTCTCTCTACATATAGGGCCAAACAGCTAGCCCCGAGGGGGGATCACCATAACCCCCCAAAATGGTGTAGGCGGGATTTAATTACAAGTATGGGCGACAACCAATAGGAGACCTAACCAACCAGCTAATTTGCACATTAATTCGCCTAACAACTAGTATGAATTGCCGCAGTTTATTGACAAAATCCTGTTCAAAACAATAAAATGATTTAAGCCTAATTAGGTACATATATACATAATATAAAAGAAGAAAAAAAGTTCAAAGTGTCCTCCTCCATGGAGCGTCAGAACAATTATTGATTATAGAAGAGTGCCATGAAATTTGCAGTAAATTTTCTGGATGTAATTTATTTTCATGTTTTCAGCTAACTTAACTTTGCTGCAGATTGACGGGCCAAACTAGGTCATAGACATGGTAGTGGGATAAATAATTTAGGGTGGCAAGTGGCAAACTTTATCGTGTTTGTATATGTGATATTTCGGGCCGGGCAAACCGAATTTTCTGCGCACTACTTTCTACCCACATTATGGATAGAGTGAGGGTAGAGAAAGTGAGTAAGAAAAGATGGTGCGGGTAGAGAAAGTGAGTAAGAAAGGGCCACGTCCCTTCTTACTAATAAATTTAAAACAAAAAAGAGGAATTGATTGTCTTATAAGCAGTTTGCTGAAATATTGAGGGAATGTCTACAATAGAAAATAGGATCCGATTCCTAATGAGTCTCAAATCTTTGGATCGAATTGTGAATATGTGATTAGCATGGTTTTTAAAAATGATCCGGAGATTAAATTGGTCAGGGTCCGGTTATTAGGTTGAATGGTCGAGAAAATAGTCAAAACTATTTGAACAATTAATCACCCGAATTAACGATTAATTGACCAAAATCAACGGTTTTTAGCAAATTTCCGATTTTGAAAAAAACCAAAACCAATCACCTAACCGAATCTCAATTTTTCTGGTCTGACCATCCGGTCCGATCCAGATTTGAAAACCACAGTGATTAGGTTCAAAGTTTGAACACCATGCCTTGAATCCGGGCAAATTAATATGAAATGCCTTGCCACCTTCTTCCACAGAGAGAGAACTTAAACCATTGCGTGAAAACCGAAAAAGAGGTAGAATCAATTCTTCCTTCATCGCCAAAGAAAGATAGAGACGGTAGAATCAAGAAAAGCTTAAAGACAAAGACAACATGGTATGGGATACCACTACGACCTCAGCAAGGGTTGTGGTTATAATCGATCCAGGTGTCCAGATGCTATCGAATATTTCGATGTTAGTGGGCTTTCAAGTTGATTACATGGGCCACAAACTAATGTCTCATATAGCAGCATACTAGGGACCACAGAGTAGTCCTCATATCTGGTCTACGGAATATTTATTATTGGCACATTATTCTGGAAGATGATTAGCATCAATCTTGTCCGTCTTATTTTTGGGGTTCATTTGCTTCTTTTTGTAAACTTTAGGATGAAAAAGAAAAAAAAAAAGGAAGTAAATTAAAGATACAAAGTTCATCGTACAACAACCATATGGTAGTGCCTTCAGACAATGCATGGGCTGAATTAATCCCCACCGGTAGGTCCTTCGGGCAACATTCTAGAAAGGGCGTCCGAATTAATTAATTTGTTTTAAATAATTCCCTCCATTTTGTTTCTATTAGGTACATTACTCTTGAGCTTTGGTTCCCACGGAATTTTGGTCAAATAATAATTCTTTTATTCGACTTACCTAATATACTTCTTATTCAAGATAAGAGTAAAGTTTTTTACACTCAAAGCTGGTCAATATAATATAAATGAAAATTGTTTAACATTTCTTTTAAATTCATTATAATTTTTTAAAATATCTAAAATTTACTATGTTAAAAAAATTTTATTTTTTAAAATTCACCTTTCATTAGTGTACCATTAATGCTTCTTAACAGAGGTGTTCATGTCAGCGTAAATAACAATTTTCATGATCAAATTACCCTTAAATGGTGAGTTAAAGGAAAATGGTCTTTTTCAGTTTTCAATTTTCTTTTTTGTTTTTTGCATTTTTAGTGTTTTTTTAGAATTTCTATTTTTTTTACATTTTTCTATTTTCTACAATCTATAAATTTTCCTGTATTGTTGTTATTTATTTACAATTTCTGTGTTTTTCTATAATTTTTTGTTTTTTTTTACAATTTTTTTTTTCAATTTTTATAGTTTCTATGATTTAAAAATAATTTTTTATTTTGTTTGCAATTTCTTTAATTTTTTATATTTTTTGCAATTTCTATATTTTTATGTATTTTATATTTGATTTTTTTTTAATTCTTTCCTTTTTTATGTCTAAACATTAAAATGGTAATATATTAACACCCACTAATTTATTTTGTATATATTTTACATTTTTCTATAAACGTAAATGGTAATACATTAACACCCGTTAGTCTCTTTAACATCAAGTTAGTGACATAGTGAGTTTTAGACATTTTGAAAACTCGTGGTGAGTTTAAGAGAAATGCTTAAAACTCGTGGTAAGTTTTAGACAATTTTCCTAATATAATAAAATAGATTTTAATCTTGGGTTCATGTTTGTACTTATCACAAATAAAATTGATTTGGCCAGAGTAGGAAATTATAAAATGGAGCCTCAATTACACTTTTTAAAGGAATAAGTTCTTTTTAATTGGTCATAACATCAAGATGGGAATAAAAAGTTGAAAACATGTTAAAAAAGTAAAAAAAGAAAAAAGAAAATGTCAATTTCAAAATAATATGAAAATAGTGCTTTATATTATTAAGGTATTTTTATAAAACATCTATTTCTTCATTCTATCTCTTTCATGATCAACAAACATCCCTGAATAGAAGTTGGTAAGTAAACTCGGGCTAAATATTTGTGGAGAACACCCGAAGATTTGAGAATAATTTATCGTTGCCTGTATTCCCTTTTCTTTAATTAATAATTGCTCTAAGAAAACAGGATTGTAATTGATGTAACCGTTTTTGGTCACGTACCATTTTTTGGGATGTGTAAAATTTTTTGGCTAAGTACCTCGTGTTTGACCTGGTGGTGACGTGCCTTGGTGATGAGCTACTTGGTGGCGAACTGCCT